CAATTTGAGTTATGAGAATGATTAATGGGAAAATTTTCATTTGTCTCAGTCGCCGTTGTGCTTCGTGATGTGATCTTGTTTTTTTTTTCTTTTTTTTTCTTTCCCTCTTCTTTCCCCTGGTGAGACGCAGTCAAGCGCCAGTGTTTTGATAATGCTAAATATTATAATCATAGTCATGATAATTAATAATAATAAAATAATAATAATCATAATAATAATATTAATAATAATAATAATAATAATACGATAATTTATAATAATAATAATAATAATGATTAATGATAAGAATACCAATAATATATTAATAATACACCATTTTTTAAGGATAAGCCAATATTTCTATTCATCATCCAAACTCTTTCATATAAAAAAAAAAACATTTAATTTCGTATCCCCCGATGATCATTTGCTGAAACGAACAGACATGGAGTGTGAGACTCGCCCGGGCGGAAATAACTGTGACGAACGCTGCCTGTCCCTCGTGGGCGTGCAGCGGGCGTTACGGTGCCACTAATATATAAAAAAAAAACAAAAAACCTATGAGTAACACAAGGTATCCGGGCTTCGGTGGAGAACTCACAATAAAAAAAAAGGATAAAGTAATAATAATGATGATACTAAATGATCTGAGAAATAGAAGGCTTGAAGACAATGATGAAAAAGACACAAGATGTTTAAGGAGAGACAAGGCGGTCGTACCGAATGCCTTGGCAGGTCCCCACACACAACGCAAGAAACAGTAACATTCGGACGCAATGAAAAGTAGCTATCGATCATTTTCCCGTTTTTTTTATCTCGAAAAAAAAAAAAAAAAACACAAGAACACCCGGAAAATATATATATAATAGAGCATTAAAAAACTTTCGTAAATGATAAGTACGGAACTAACAAAATACAATAATCAACATCAGAAATCCTGAGGTTTTCATGGTAATATACAACTCGTATTTTTTTTCTCTGTGGCGGCACTGCTAGAAGGTTCTGGTCACGGTTGATACTGTGCCTTCCTAGCCACCACCTCGTGTGCCTTGTCATTGCGACCATGTATCCCCAAGGTTCGTATGGTCTGCCTTCCACCAGCGCCACCTGCTTGATCCGGCGTAGTCCTAGTCGTAGAGAGAGAAAAAAAAAAGACAAACGAGGCAGCGTTTTCCTTTTCCTCCTTCAGATATTTTTTAAAAATCCATCCTCAATGCCGTTTAATACTTCTCAAAAAGAATAAAAGATTCCAACATTTCATCACGTAATCCTCTTATACAGCATTCAGCTATTTCAACTTAGACGTGAGAGTTCACACTCCATATTGATCCTTAAATATGTAAATATGTCAATGACCATCTCAACTCAACGGTAGAAGATGCGAGTTTTTGCTGGTGGACGGATTTCAAATGGACCTTGTCACCGATACAAAACAAATAAATTATTACCGATTGTTGTACAATTGCGGTGTGCCACGTATATTGATTTTTGCCAAACTGGTTTATTTGTTTATGAATCTGTTCTCTGTATTATGGCTTGTTTTCCCCTGTATTGAGTAAATGCTCAGACTCTTTTATGTGATGGTTGTCAGTTTTGTTATTACCACTTGTGTCCTCGTATGTCGGAACAAGAAGAATATGGTGCCCACCTGGAAAGTGTTATCAAAATCTCAAAATCAAAATTCTGCCCCCGATCTACATATGTATAAATAGTAAGTTGTTGAATTACTATAGCTGCCATGACACCCCAGTCATATTATCTGCAAAACGCTGTACATAAACATTGCTTGTAAGGCACTAACACTAGAAAGTAGTAGTAGGTTTAAGAAAGTTCCTCAAAGGCATTTCCGATATACTTGTAAAAGTAGAGTGAATTTCGCTAGATGCATTTGTAAAACATTAGCTTCTGACTGAGCAGGAGGTAACATAGCAGGAGCAGTTCTCAGTAGCAGTGTAGTACCGGCAGAGTAGACTCCACTGTGTGGAGTGACAATACTCAGCCTTCGCCGGGGCACTCCGTGCTCTCATGGCGGAGCTAAAGGTAGCGCCCACGTCCCTACTTCGAGAACGTTTTCTTTAGTTTCTCTGGGGAGGGCGGCGCTCTGTGGATCGGGGTAACTATGCTATTTTGTACGCTCTTGAGCTCTTGACAACTCTTCACGTGGAAGCTTGAAAGATCTCAGGGCACCGAAAATGTGGCTTACAAAAATGACTGTTAACTGTACAGGTCTGTAAGTTGTTTGTCTCCATTGAACAGTGTTTGTTGCGCGTTCTGTCGCAACGGGTCTTGCCTACTTATTGTGTTGCCGCAGTTTGTGTGTGTAAATCTCTTACCTGTTTGTTTTGCCTGTGACAATTTTTATTTGATCCAACTCGCACCCAAGTTTAGAAGAAGATAAAAATATATAATGATAATAAAACAGCATTATGAGGAATATAAGCGTAATATTTACCGAAGCCAACATACTGCCTACAGGTGAAGTTTCATGCGTTACATTCCAGCCGAACATTGAACACCCATCACGTCTTGTTTTGAACAGTTCCCTGAACCAATCGTGAATGATGCATATCACACCCATGTCGCCCTGGACGCTGGTTGTCACAAACAGCAGCTTTTCTGCAAGTTTTTTTCCTACCACAGAAGGAGCGGCCCCCTGGAGCGGCCCCGCTGCCCCGCCAGTTGGCCGGGCCGGGCCGCCCCAGGAGAGCCCTGCGTGACAACGGAGCGTCCACGGCTGCGCTGACTATCAGCCCGCGACCCGGCGGCCCGCCTGCCTGCTGCTGCACAGGCCGGGCGCACCGAGCCGCCCACGCAGGACCGTACTCCGGGCGGTCGACTCGTGCTTTCAAAAGCTGCGTGAGAAGAAGGCACCGAGGGCGCCAGGAGCCGCGTGTGTGCTGCTGTCTGGGGCTCGGGGCGGGCCGACCCCCGCACGCTCCAGCATCTCTCTTGCCTGTTCCCGAGCGTGGCGGGGCCGCCCCGCGCCAGGCCCTTCAACTGCCATTTACTCCTGGCTGGGGTCCCGCTGGCTGCGGGAGGGGCGACCAAAGCCCATGCAAAAGAGGGATTCAAGGCTTGGCCTGCCTCAGCACTCCCGCCAAAGTTTGTTTGCCCCTGTTACTCGCCAAGTTACCAAGTTTATGATCCAAAACTTTATACTAGATATTTTAACTTGAATTGCTAGATAGGAAGTGTCCTGCGTCGCTTGATGCTAGTGCCTGCCGCCCAGCCGCCGAGGAGGTGCCCCGCCGCCCACACCACCTGCCCGCCCGCCCGCCCGACCCACCTGCAAGCCCCAGCTGCCGAGCCAGCCCGGGGTGGCCCTAGGGGTGGCCCTAGCGGCGGCCCTCAGGAGCGGCCACAAGGGGCGAGCCCGAGGGGGTGCCCCTGAAGGGTGGTGGGAACCCGGGCAGAGGACGCGTGCCAACATATCGCCCGGGAGGGTACTGTAGTGCGCTAGGTCGTGCCAGATATCACTAGGGACGTCTTTTTCCATGTGTGTGGATCTTATGGAGTGAAAGTTATGATGATCATTATTGCCATTATGGTTATCAATAATATTATTATTAATACCATAATTATTAAATAAGACATGCCACATCGTACCACTTGTAGATAATGATTTGTATCAGAACAATAAAAAGCAATAGTAAATGGTCTTTCATTTCATACTTTGCAAAGTTACTTTATTTTCCTCATTCTCACCGACCCACTGGTTATCAAAAGCAGAACTGTCCTTATAAATATTCATAGACTGAGAACAGAGTCTACATTTTACTTCTATTTATATACTGTACAATCAAAATAAATTAGAGAAATTGTTAAAGAAAATTCACCCCATAACTATTCTCTCCTTAGTATGAAAAATTAGCAAAGAACAGAAAAGCCCAAACAAAGAATACTTTTGAAAAAATAAGGATAAAGTAATTCAATTACCAAAAATAATGGTTTTAAAAATCTTGCATGTTTCATAAAACAGAAACTTCCTCATATGACTAAGTCACACACACCATTGAAAATCAATCTGTAAATATATGCAAAATAAATACTGACAATGAGAAACAGTTAATGATCAGTATACAAAGTCTAATCTCCACTTAAAACAAACATAAATCATGAATTAGCATCCCACAAAGGCAAAATTGAACATCTATCAAACCCTAACTAACAGTGGTTTTAGAAAAAAATGCCATCCTTAGCACTGATAAATGAATCAAAAAGAAATCAGCAGATACGGATAAGGATATATATGCTTAAAACTGTCCTACCTCAAACAATTCTAAAGCCCTATGGAATAAAGATATCTCCAGAGCCATTTACTATAAAGCTCATTCTGATATTACACAGACAAGCTAAACCCTATGACAAAAGATGGAAAAATGGAAAGAAAAGACTAAAGTTCAGAGAAAAATATGACAAAGCACCTGTTCAAAGCTCTTGAACAACAGTACCTGAGAAGTACAACACTGGAACTATGTTACATTCAAAACAGCACAAAGGGCTAATTAGAACTTTTGTTGTGTTTTTCTAAATCTTTTACTGCACAACACAACTGCACAAAGAAGATTAATAGAAATACTGAAAATACTGGATTTCACATACCGCCATGACAACTTTCAAAACTCGCATTACCTCATCTAGCTAAGGTATAAAACAAACTTTCCGACAGCTTCCCTTATATAATTTTCCAATATACAAAGCACAGTCTTGAAACCAGGCCAATGAAGTTTTCTACTAACAGACATAGGCTTCACTTGTTATAATCCTTTAGTGGCTGCAAAAGAACATTACACCTTCATTTCAGCCCACCAGGAAAGACATATAAGTTGCTAAAAATACTTTGCGAGGCTGTAAAATAATTCAGCTTAGTTTGACAACTACTAACAACTTTTCCTTTTGTTTAGAATCAACATCATATCTTGTCTATCACTAATGAAACCTACATATATTCTAAAATAAATACGAGAAAGAGATCCCACAGTCATCACATTCCTATCAAAGGATTTAAATAAAAGACTTTAATGAAATTATCTTAATTTCAATTCCATATCACAGATTCCTCAATTTTGAGGAATGAGAAAAAATTCTCTTTTCCAAAACAAATTAAACATTCACTAATTCTTCATAAAGGGACAATTTACACAGGTGTTTAGTCAAGACTTTTCAAAAAGAAAGAACAAACAAAAGTAACTAATTTCCTGCTGACAGTGAACATTTCCATTAAAGATGTTGATTGAAGACAGAAAAAAAAGAAAACTAATAAAAAAAACATACTTTCTTCCAATATTAGCAGCTGTTTATTACAATCATCATTGTTGTTCCTATGGTCATCTTCATTTTACTAGAGCAGCATGGCCTTGGCAACAGAAGCAGACTTCTCAGAATCCACAAGTTTCTTCACAAGAGCCAGGCCAAAGTCAAAAGCTGTTCCTGGGCCCTGGGAGGTGATGAGCTCGCCTGTGGAAAAGAGGAAGTCAACAGTCACTTTAAAAGATCAAGTGGAGAACTGCTTAAAAATGGTTAATCTAAATAATTATATATCGCACACACGCATGCACTCACTCACTCACTCATTCCCACAAAACGAGAAAGAGAAAGACAAAGAGAGAGAGAGAAAGAGACAAAGAGAGAGACAAAGAGAGAGAGAGAGAGAGAGACAAAGAGAGAGAGAGAGAGAGAGACAAAGAGAGAGAGAGAAAGAAAGAGACAAAGAGAGAGAGAGAGAGAGACAAAGAGAGAGAGAGAGAGAAAGACAAAGAGAGAGAGAGAGAGACAAAGAGAGAGAGAGAGAGAGAGAGAGAGAGAGAGAGAGAGAGAGAGAGAGAGAGAGAGAGAGAGAGAGAGAGAGAGAGAGAGAGAGAGAGAGAGAGAGAGAGAGAGAGAGAGAGAGAGAGAGTTTCGTAGCACTAACAACTATACTTCAAAAAGTATCATTGCTTGTGTCATAATGTTTAGTAAGATTTTCTAACAATATCTTTCTGTGAAGCTGTAAACCTCATTCATGGAAAAAGAGTCGATGGAAAGGAAAAATCCCACCAGTTTTGGACAGGTTGCCTACAATCATGGCAGATACAACTGGTGGTACATTTTGGATTGTGCTACAACTGTGGAAGTCAATATGTTATGATAAAAACATCAATGTTAACCCTAACAATGACAATACAGCTGTTGATACCCATGCTAATACTATCAAGTTAATCCCACAAATATCTATGATATCCATCCATATTTGATAACTAAGACTTGCTCTTGGTGTTAATAATGGGGCAATATCAATGCAGATAATAGAATTACTCATGTTGAAACAGGTATGAATGAGAATTGACACTTGAATGATACTTTGAGTATGAAATGGAATTACTTATGTTGAAACAGGTATGAATGAGAATGTTTATCTTCATAGTGCAAGATATGTACTTGATTGTCTCCATCAGAAACTATGTTCTCTACCACTTATATTGAAGAGACTGTGGAAATGCCTCCAATAAATCTCTTGCACTACGAAAATATTCATTCTCACTCTTCCCGTTTTTTTTCTTATGATGCTGTGTTTTAACACCAATGCTAGTATGTACATACATGCCACATCTACATTGATTTTGTTTATTCATGGTTTTTACACATAGATGGCTCCACAAAGTCAAGAATGAGCCAATTACTAGTATTATCTATCTCACCTGATTGCCCTTTTCCTCTAATCTCAAAAATATTTCTATCTTATATTACGGTTAGTAATGTCAATAACATATAATAATTATAATGTCTATAATAATAATTACAGCATTAATATTGATAGCATTAGCAAAAAAGATGAAATTTTCTCAAAAACACCAAGAAAAGTAAAATCAGATGAGGTCTCAAGATCTCCTAATGGACTCCCTGGTGGCTAAGCACTTGCGGAGCCATCTAGGTCCAGTGAAAGTTAGCTAAAAAAAAAAAATAGTAGACAAAACATTTCCCCAGCAACATCTATTTTCACAGTTCACGTGAAAATGCATGTTCGGGATACAAAATAAGCTTCAAATTCAGTAAAACTATAAACATTTTTAGGGTTTGCTCTAACAATTTTTTTTGCTCCACTTGGTTTATAAGGATGCCAAAGAACATAGTGACAAAGACCTGTGAAATTATCACAAACACAATGATAATGATATCAATAACAATAAAGATTTCAGTGCTAAATAAGGAATACACAACACTACTAAACACCAAGCAAGTTATTTCCTATAATAAGGAACACATCCTCAAACTTGGTACTCAATACCTACCATCCTCCACCACTTTCTGATCCTGGTAGGTGTACTTGCCAGCATCAAGACGGTCCTTCAGAGCAGGATAGCAGGTCACCTTTTTGCCCTCTCCTATGCCATGGGGGGGGAGGGAGACAGCAGGGGCTGAAACGAGGAAAGGGATCAAGTCATGAGGGACCGGCTTACCAACAGCTTAAGTAGGCTGTTATAAAGAATGAGGAAATATAAAAAAGGAGGGAAATATTTACATTTTATCTGATGGCAGGTTAAACCTATTATAGTCATACAACTATACCTATAAATACTACACGCAGACCTCATTTACCCAGACAAAAGGGGGAGATATCAGTCTGATATTGGTGAAGGACTGTAGCTACCAAAACTAAGGCAATTACAGAACAAGACCACATTAAAAATCTATGCAAATGCTGTTTTTAAATTTTCACATTTTTTCACATTTTGTCCTGCAGATACACATATTCTTTTCTTTTCTTTTAAACATATTCCTCACACCCCCACTTCATAGACACATCACTTTCTAACTTTCTCATCAACTTAAGCTGAGGTGCTATTGTTAACCCCTACAATCTAGATGACATGCTCATCATGTCACGAAAAAACTTGGCTTGAGGTGTAGGTGGCATGACCATGCCTTCATGGGAAAGTTTGGCTATGGGCTGGGGTGACATCATTATGAGCATTTCAACTGAAAGCCAGGTTGATGGGAATGACTCTCCACAAGTGCAAGGGGTTTTTACATTATTTCCATCGATAAACAATGTTGAATCTACAACCTGTGAACCATGAATGGAAAAGTGTCGTCTCCAGGGAGGACGCCATTTCCATGCTCAGGATCCTATTCCTGCCCGTTATGATCAGCAGCAGTTTGTATTACAGAAAATTGATAATGAAAAAAAAATTACACTTTTCATTAAATGTTATGGACTAAGTAGAGAAATGATATAGTCTCTGTTAGGAAAAGTCTATTACCATCTGGATAAAGTAAATCAAAAGACAAATATAGAAATTGGAAAATGGCAAAAATGCTAAAAATGCTTATGTAGAAAAAGAGAAAATAACACTGCAAAGGGAGGCATGGAGTCCTGTCACCACATACGAGTGTTCATGCATGCCGGCCTACAAGCTGCATACCCACAAGAGTGGCCACTCAAGTAAACCTAATACCCATATTTTGGGCCACATGATGGCAGTGAGGCATCTAGATCCCTTTTCCACTTTCTACTCTTCATTCATATGACACAGTTATAGAAAATGATTACTAAACAACTAAACCATTTAGACACTGATACAGTTATAGAAAATGTTGAATACTAAACAACAAAACCTCTTATACATACTGACATAAAAACATGCTGTACCTATGGTTACACCAATGTAATGTAACAGCACTTCTAAAAGTAAACAGCTCACTAAGCAGCAGTTGATGTCTAGTGATACTAAACCTAAGTCAACACATCAGATTTTTGTCCATGGCTTCCAATATTCATTAAAAGGAGTTCATAATACAGAGGTCTCAATGTATATTCAATCCAACAACACCCAGGAAGAAAATAGTACCTGTAAAACACAATTAACAGGACCAATGATTACCTAAAACTTTATTACCCACCTGCACAGATTGCTCCAATAACTCGCCCAGCTTTCTGTTGGTCAGTGAGGAGGGTCTTCACAGTAGCACTCTGGAGGAGCCAAATATCAAATATTAACAGCCAATTTCCATTGCACACATCCATACTATAAAATCATAATGTAAAGACAGCATACAAACTCCAGTTCAGTAAAATCTAAAAAATACTTAAAGAGAGCGAAGGCTAAATCAAGAAAGCATAATAGTCCTTTATAACACTTGTACAATCTTTTATGACATGTTTTGATGTACGAGTATCAGACTTAACATAAGAGAATGTACAGATTGTTTACAAATTCCTTGTCCTCTATCAGTCACAACAGCTTTTCCTCCAAAAATGGCAGACATTATGAATGAGAATTACATGGTTAACATCACAAAATAAATGCATATTCATGCAATATCACCATCAGATTTACATGTCCATGATGGTACATGTAGATGAAGCTGGGCATCTACCAGATTTTAAGTGAACAAAAGTGCTTCAAAGTGGACTGTAAGCAAAAGAGAAAAATCATGGAAATTGCCCAGTTCATAATGTTGGACAATAAGAATCCAAAATATGGCATTATCAAAGACTTAAACAAAATCAACTAGGCAGAATAATAGTGACAGGTAATTGGCATCATGCAAATTCCAAGTTCTCAATGGATATGCATGTACATAAACTTAATTCTGTTGATATAATATTGCAACATCAGTTGCATTTCCTGTTCTGTGAAATAATTAATTCTCATTTATACCTTGTCTACATTACTAACAATGAACTCTTCTCTACAACAACTAAAAGCTCACATCTAAACAAATAAACCAAAATGACCTGAGTCACTTTGAACTTCTCATACATTATGGAGACTTCATAAAATTATCTTTATCACAAAGAAAAAACATTTCACTCGCACTGAAGACCTAATCTCTTTACCTGGCCAAAACTCTCGGCACCCTTGAGGCCTCCAGGGAGAACGATGGCATCATAGGGACCCTTTCCAGCAGCGTCTTCTAGAGCGGCATCAGGCACGACCACCACGTCTCGGCTGCACTTGACAGCTCCTGCACCATTGAGCCCAGCAACAGTGACTTCTATCTGTGAAAACATTTTTCTTCATCACTCATCTGAAGCAAAATTCATTCAATGGTCTTAAGTGAGAACTTGAAATTTAAAGCAATAACTAAATAATCCCTTTCATTTTTTTTTTTTTTTTTTTTTTTTTTTTTTAAACCTCTGCACAGTTTATAAAAATTGGATGAAAAATTCACAAAATCAACACTACAGATTTCAAAAATATCTTGTCTTATATCTTCTGAAGTAGCATTAATTCTTCTTCTACTTTTGATATTATCATATACCTGCAATTTTCAAGATGCAAAGAAATTACATCTATATATAAAAGAAATCCTTTACTAAATGACTCACAAAGACAATACAAACACTGAAAACATAAATACTGCTACTGACAATGATATTAAATGTAATGTTATACTAATATAATGTAACATTTCATCAAATATTAAAGAATAAAAATATTCTACTTGTGATCCATTACTAATGATTTGAAACTAAAAAAAAAAATTGTAATATATTTGGAAAAAAAAAAAAAAAAAAAGTAATATATTTAATTCATTATAAGCAAAAGACAACAAATGTACAACAACAAATTTAATCTGCAACAATGCTGCGGATTAAGTTCAGTGTTAACATATAATAATGCGACCCTTTCTTTTTTCTTTTTCTTTTGATAAAACATACACCTTTTATTTAACCTTAGCAAGATCCCAGAGATCAATTAATTTTTCTGTCTTTTTTTTTTTTTTTTTGGGGGGGGGGGGGTGAATATTGAAATACTCAAAGTTATTGGGGGGAGTGATATTTTGTATAAATGTGTCACTTTTACAAGCACAGGGAAAAATTGCAAAAACAAACTGGAACAGATACTAGATTTATTATTCAGCTACAAAATGAACCAGAAAACTTTTTTTTCTTTCTTTATGTAGACAACTTTCAGAACACCAAAAAAGGGCTTTTTGTATATGTATGTCACTTTTACAAGAAGCACAAGAAAAAAATTGCAAAAACTATGTGGAACATGCAATAGATCTATTATTGTAGTAGCCTACTTATGTACATTAGAGTCCATCTCAATACATTAGGTATGTTACACTTTGTGTACAAGATTAATGTGGTTTTATCTAAAGGTAAAGAAAATATATTACCCATTTTCATAAATCTTATTTTCCCAAAATATGAGATTGTATGCAATGATCTAGAAGGCTATTGCCCCATGGCTTCAATATGTCCAATATTTGTGCCATATTTCAAGGCAAGTCACACTGGCTGAGTGCTAATACATGAAAGCTACTTATAGGTTCACATCAACAGCAAGAGAGCATAATGCCTTGGTGCATGGTATCCTCCATGCATGGCAAGCAAATGATTCATGTGCTAAAATTCATTCTTTATACTAAACTATAGCCAATCATAGTATTACATATCCCATTCACAATGGGGATGTGGTGTGGGAATGAGGGTTCCTTATAAACAATAGCATTAAATGTAATGCACACATCATAGTAACATGACATGAATAATCCATCATCCAGAGCCATGACGTGAATAGCACATCACTCAGAGCCCAGACCAAGTCAGACGAGAACCCCACATCATCTGTAGGCTAAGAGTTAATGCTGTAGAGTCCCACTAGCCCTGGAACCATTCAAAGATATAATTCAGAGTATATAAATAACATTAGCACAAGTAAAGGCAAAACAAAAATCTAGGAGAAACATCCCCCAAAAAATGAATTGTCATATACCTATACCTCTATCTAAGAGTTACTGAAACGTCAAGTCAACACTACCCTAGTGCATGAACATCAAAATTCTCCTTTAATCTTTAGCAGACTGCAAAAAGATAACTTGCACTTTGCCTGCCTGCCTAAAAAAAAAAAAAAAAAAAAGGTAATAAGAGAACCCTTATTAGAAATAAACGCTCAAAACAGAGTTTGGAGACAGCAAACAAGGCAAAGCAGGTGAAGACAAGCCTACCCTCATCCCCAGCAACAGATGCTGATCATGACCCGGGTGCCACACTTCCCCCTACTCTCGCTCGCACCCCGAATGGCGCGCCCCCGCCCCGCTTGTACCACGGGTGGCGCGACCCGCCCTGCTCGTACCACGGGTGGCACGCCTGCCCCTGCTCACATCACAGGTGCCACGCCCGGTCCTGCTGAAGGCTATATACCCAGTCCTGCGCTCCGCCGTGCGCACGTTCGTGGTCCGGGTGCCGCGCCCCGCCCGTCTTGTACCCCTGCCCATGCCGCTAGTCCTTCAGCGCACCCTGAACGTGCCCCAAGCCCCGCAACACAGTCTCCTCGACCGTCAACGTCGAGGAATGAAGATCCCTCTGCCCGACCTCCCATCCCTTACCACATCTTGATGGGAGGGGTAGACGATTCCTCAGACGAGGATGAAGAGGGACTTCCTGTGAGGGAGAGCATATCAGAGAACACCCTGTGTATACATGTCCTCTGATGTGGATGATGCTGCTCTGCCTTTCTCTGCCTCCCCCCCCAGAGGCACATCCCTGTGGCCCCAGTATCACCACATGCCCCACGTCCAGGCCGTAAGATCTCTTTGCGCCATTCCTTAGTCAAGGGAATGCTTGCTCATGGTCGCACAGATCTGGTACAATGCCTGTTTGTACAGTCGTTCCCATACCCAGGATCTGCTGGACGTGGTGGCGTGCAAAGCCTGTGGTGGTGGCCTTACCATCACTCGCCATGGCTCAGGCTTTGCACAGTTTGACAAGTGGTCATGTCGAACATGTGGTGTTATTATGGCCACAAAACACCCCAAAGCCAGTGGATCATCCATACCGAATTTGTCTTCGGTTTATGCATCCCTGGTGAATGATGATGGATACAATGGGTACATTTGGTATTGTGGTGCCCTCCATGTTCCAGCCCTTTCGAAGTTTGCGTACTACCATCACGCGCAGATTCTCTTCGAAAGGATGGAGGCCCACTATGCCGAATCAATGAACATTGTATTCCAAACGTCCGTCAGTTATTATCAGGATGAAATTGGGGTGTTCCCTGTCAAATATCATTCCGTTGAGGTTTCCTACGATGGCACGTATAAAACGTGGGTGAATGCCATGGGATATTTTCGAGCACCGTTATTATATTGTTGGTTATGGTAAATGTTGTGCCCTCGCGTATCCGTGGCATGGAGGTTTGCCCTCACGGGGATTATATTGGTTCGTCAGGGGGGATGGAGGTACAGATCGCGAGAATTCTATGGGGCCGATCTCGCGATCTGGGTTTTGAGTATAGGGGTCATGGTGGCTGACGGTGATGCCGCCACCTTCAACGCCGTCAGAGACACGTACGGTCCTGATTCTGTTGTGAAAGAGATGTGTGCGAATCACGTAGGCAAGCGGATGAAAACCCGCTTGCTGAAACTGGTTAGCACCTTCACGCAGAACACGACGTTCATGTCGGGGAGAAGGAGGGGGCAAGTCAGGAAGACTTATCCCCTCAAGAAATTATTGACTGAGGCGATGATGACTAGGTTGAGCAATTACTACATCAGCGCGATACATTCCAGTATCCGCGCTGGTGTAGGGGAAATGCAGTCTCGCATTCTCCCCACATTTCATCATCTCTCGGCCCATATTTTCTCTCCCCACCACCATGACTTGTGCCCGCCTGGAGAAGGTGCGGCCCCAGAAAGCTGTGGCTCAGGCGTGGACCCGACCACAGCTATCCAGGAGCCTGGATTTTCTCCACCTTTCCCCGCGATGCTCGCGCGGGGGTGGAGAAAATATACACGGATCTTTCCGATCCCACATTGCAAATGAAGTGCCAGAAGGGCCACACACAGAATATCAACGAGTCTTTACACTCCAAATTGTGGTCCAAGGTTGCAAAACACAAGTTTCATGGTCTTGATCGGATCATGTTTCTTGCCCGTGTTACATCCTTGGAACACAATTTCGGTAGCGAGGAAGGCTCATTGTTGCGAACTCTGAGTGTGGACACCTCTGTCGAATGCCTTCGGGTACTTCAAGAGCAGGACAGGGAAAGTTTCCGCGTAGCATCCCGCAATCCTAGGCAGCACCAACCACCAGAGGAGGCAGAGGATGCCGGCCTCAACTATGCTGCAGGACAGTATGAGTGAATGAAGCGTGTTTGTATTTGATGTTTGAATTGTATGTATGAATGTATTTTAACTGACATATATATATATATATATATATATATATATATATATATATATATATATATATATATATATATATATATATATATATTATACGACAAAAATATGTTTTATTTTGACAAACTAATGAATTTTATTTTAATTTGTGTAATGAATTTCATTTTAATTTTATAATGAGTTTTTTGAAAAGCATTTAATTTTAATTACGTAAACCGAACTGTTTTTATTTTAAAATGAATTTTGATATATTTGTACCTGTGTGTAAGTGTATGTATGAAAGTGTATATATGAAAGTGTATGCATGGTGTGCGAGCGGTAGGTCCCCCCCCCCCTCCGTTGCGTTGGTACCCTTCAGGTACCCCGTGCCTCTCCCCAGCATGGGTTGCTGTGGGACGAGGGGGGAATGTGTCGGATAAATTCATCACAGAATTTGACCTCACATTTAGGTGTTACATCTAAATGCGAGGGTCAAATTTTGTGAAGATTTATCCGACACCAGGGCGCTGGGGAGAGGCCAGACACAGTGTTTGTGTGTGAATGTTTTTTTTTTGTATGTAAGTATGTAAACCCACCTAGAGTCATCAAAAATACTCTAGGCAGTCCCAAGTCTGCATAAAGGGTGAGGGCATACTTATAAAAATAATACACAGTACTGATCTGTATATACATACATATATGTATGTATATGCAATATTCATGTATGTATACAGATCAGTACCGTGTATATGGTGACCTTTTGTTTATATATATTGTTTTATAAGGTCATCAAATACACAGTACTGATCTGTGTATACATGCATATACAATTTTTGAATTATATATATAAAAAAAAAGTCCCCACTTTGAAAATTGACCATTTTTTGT